ATTTGCCTCAGTGTGGGCATGATAAAGAGAGAGATCACTGTGTGTACTTGCGATAAAATGAGAAATATGTGTGTAATGGAGACAGAAAAAGTCATATATAGAAAGAAGCAGATTGAGGAAGAAACAGAGAGTGTGAAAAGCAGAGAGAAAGTGGTATAAAGAGAGAGGCAAAAACAAAGACATGCAGAAAGAAAGAGACAGAGAGAGAGAGAAAGAAAGAGAGAGAGAGGGGATCAGAAGATTTTAAAAGACAAGAAATTACTTGTATTCCAACGTTAAATCACCTTTCATATCAGGATTCGCGCAATCGTAGTGATATGGTTGGGGCGCGTATCCACACCTGATGCCTATCGGAGTACAGAGAAAGGTGAAGAAAACTATTGATCTCTCTCAGTTTTCATTTCCGGACTTATTCATAAAAACCTTTGCCCGTTTTCAGGTAATTACTGTAAGAGCTAAACAAGTTTCCACATTGCCATCCAACGATTTCTGTTCATGCAATTCGGTACATTAGCACTTAATCACATCTCAATCAAAGAACCGTAGAGACCATTACCACAAGACGGTAATGTAAAGGCAGGTTAGGCGCCAGAACTTACATTAAAAATCGGAATCTGTTCGATGGCTGAAGTGCTTACATTCTTCCTATTAAAGCTAGTAGGCAGTTTTCGAAATTAAGTTTTTAAATATTGACTTCTTTTTAATACATGCAAACTCTTCCTTTTTGGGGCAGAGTTATCTTTAACATGTGTGTTAGGATGCTAGATTTTAACATGTGTTAGGATGCCAGATTAACGTCATTAAGGTAACGCCAGGTCTATTAGCAGTTAATAATAATAATAATAATAATAATAATAATAATAATAATAATGACGTGGTGCCAGTACCGTGCTTATCACGATAATACAGATCTAGTTTTTGTATGTTTGTCATCTACTGAAGGAAGGCAACGTGTGGTGTATTAAGGGTTCATTACAGAGAAGCTACATTTATTTAATTGAAAATATTTAGGAATTGTATAAAGAAGCGATGAATGTGGAGTTCGAACTCGGCTCCCCGATTCCCCAATCCGAGCCGCAGTCCATTATGCGACCGTTACTGGTAAATAAAAAAAAAAAAAAAAAAAAAAAGAAGAAAATAAACTAAAAATATTGAGTTGACTAAAAGAGATCTCGTATTTTTTTTAGATACAATACAGGAGAGAACAGTTAGAAGGTTCCTAAAATTATAGGCTTAACAATGTTTGTATCTACGCTGGCACGCTGTGTCGATTTACCCATATAAAAGGCGTTCTCTTTACTTTTTCTTAATTTAATCTTCCATTTATCTGGATTTCACGACAAGATAACAGACTATAGCATTATCTTTCCACCCGTCACTTTATCTTGTAATACATCTGTATGTCTCTTTCGTGGTGTCGTCACTAGGTTTTCAATACTCAACTAGTCCCCGTAAATATCTTTACCTAGAAAAAGGAATCTTAGTGAGCTCATTTTGTTATCATTTCCCCCAAGCAAGGCAATAAAGCCACTAAAGTGTTACTGAGTGTGAGAGAATATGAGAAAGAGAAAACATTATTAAGGTGAAAGGCACTGGAATTAAGAAGACAGAAAATAACGATTGGCATTGCATTTAAATTTTTAAAAATAAAAGTTGACTGAAAAGCAAAAAGCCGGGAGAGAGTTCCACAAGCGAGAAGTGCGATGGAAAAGTAACTGTTAACATAGAACTTACGGTTACATCTAGGCATTTCAACTGTAAAATGATGAGACCTTGTCACTCTAGTACTGCGCTTAAATTCATAAAATTTAGGTACCATAATGGAAAGCTCATTGGAACAAATAAAATCAAAATATTTATAGAAAAGACACGGAAAAGCTACGTTACGGCGGTGTGAAAGTAACTGAAGCTGAGATGCCAGGTCAGAACCTAATAATATTTATATATAATATATAAAGCTTGTAAATGTTTATAGCCGTGTAAATGTTTAGAAAGTAATGCCTTTCACAAGTAGGTAACTCTACTCTTCTGTGAGAATCTAGCTCATATACGAGGGTTCGTAAAATAATGCCTGTAATTTTGACAGTATTAGAATTCCCAGAATTTGTTTTCGCTATAAATCTTATGTATCTCGGATGCCAACTCTTAACATTTGCGGAGTTTCCTTCTTTTCCGTACCCATAAGCCCCTTATAAAATGGCTGCTTCTCCGAGAAAACATAAGAAGCAGAGAACAGTCATGGAAATTCTGGTTTTTGAAAGAGAAGATACTGCAAATATTCACTGGAGGTATGTGCATGTTTATACACAGACTGCATTTGATATAAATACAGTAAGGAATTGAGTCAGTAGAGTTAATGGCAATTCTAGATAAATTTATCTTCGTGACAGGCTCCGCATTGGCAGGCCAGCTGCTGCTGTGGATGAGGATAAATTCACACATATTGATAATCTTAGAACAGATAGAAGAATCACAATTGCAAATCAATGTGAAAATCTTGCGAGGAATCGTGATAGTACCTGCTGTTTAGAGCAATCTCTTGGGAAAATCGGTTCACAGAAAGCTGACAGACTCCATGAAGTCACGGTAGGTGATGCTTGGGTTCACTACAATGAGCCAAAGTGCAAAAGATAATCAACGGAGTAGCGCCACTCAAAACCACCCAGAAAGACGTTTAAGGCAGCCGTCTTAACAGATAAAGATGTTTTGAGAATAGAATGGAGTCATGTCACCACTATCGATTCTAATTCCTAGGTGAACACATTATTACAACTCCCAACTCAGAGCAAGAATTCTTCGAGCGAGGCCGCATTTGAAGATGAATGACGTGCTTTTGCAACTTGACACTGCAAAACCTTTGACTAGCTTAAAGATCAGAGGAATCGCAGTGGATGTTTGGACAACTTTGTCTCATTCACTCCAAATTCGTGGCACTCTTAGACATTCATCTATTTGGGCTCATGAAAGAAATCGGCGGTTCATCAGTGATGAAGCACACGGTAACTACCACATGGCTGAGAAAAGAGGTAAAGAACTTCTGAGAAGAGGGTGTATATGATATCATTCAACGCACGAATGCCATGATTGCTAAGGAAAGAGTGTAGATTTTATTTGGAACTAGATTAAGAGTCCTGAGACGTTTCTGTTTATTCATTTTTTAATCATTCCACCCCAAGCAAGGTGATAATGCTACTAGGACTTCATGTTGTAATTAAAGAAGAAGCATTGCCTTTTAACCGAACCCAGTTTAACACAAATGAAATTTGCAATCAGTCCAGGCAATAAAACTGCGTTTAGGTATTTACTGCGTTTTTTATGGTTCACTGTATAGGTTCATGAAGAATATTTGTCTTCACATTGAACAGGAACCACGCGAAGAAATGATAATAACTGTTTATGTAGAAAAGTGAATTTTACGGTGACAGATGCTCATATTATATAGAAAATTACTAAACACAACATCTCGATCTTTACTTTCTACAGAAGGTAGTGAAGGAAAGCGAGAAGAAAGGACTAAACATCAATTGCAAGAAGACAATGCATAGTTCTCAGCAATAGGAACGGCCCAACATGTAATTTACAAATTGATGATACCAAAATCAAAGAAGCATAACAATTTCAATATCTGGGAAGTGTTCTAACAGAGGACGGAAAGCGCAACCCTGAAATACGAAGATGCATTGGAATGGTGAAAGATACCTTTCAAAAGCTACGCAAAGGATTAAAGAACGGAAAAATCTCGTTAGAAACAAATAAAAAAAAATACTGGACTGTTAATTAATACCAGTCCTTCTATATGACAGGGAATACTGGACAATCTCCTTACAGATGAAGAAGAGATTTGAAACAATAGAAATGTGATCCTACAGAAGGATGCTGAGAATACCATAGATCGTGCATGTGAGCAACATCGAAGTTTTAGAGAAAATATAAACAGAAAGGACACTTATACTTAACATCAGAAAGAAACAGTTGATATTTCTAGGGCACATAATGAGGAAAGAGAGCTTGGAAAATTTGATACTCACAAGACAGATTTGGGGCAAGAGGAACAGAAGTAAACAATGTCTAACCTACCTACTGAGCTTGAGTAAATGGAAGACGGGATAGGGTTTCGGATAGATAACAAAAAGACAAAATTTATTAAGAGCTTCAAAGGACAGGAAATTGTGGAGAGCCATGAGCGCTAACGTCCTGAAGGGACACAGCAGATAGAAGAAGAATTTGGGGACAAGGCGATTAAATACTTCTGTCCCAAAATGCTTGATACGTTTAGTTTATAAAATGTGTATGCGAATGTAACAACTATTTTGGGGCATAGGTGATTGAATACTGCTACTTCTGTCCCATAAAGGTTGTGACATTTATTTGATGAAATATGAATACAAATGTAACAACTATTATGGGACAGAGTTGATTAAATACTGCTACTTCTGTCTCGTAATGGTTGTTACATTTAGTGTATGAAATATGTATATAAATATAACAGCTATTATGGGACAGAGGTAGTTAAGCTTGTGTAAGTAAAGTACAGGGTCAACTGTGGAGTAATGGATGTATAAAATACCTTCTGATAGATTAGTAGATCAACCTGATTTGAAAATCAGTATTTGAAACGTTGTCTTTTACCTGGATTCGAACAACAGTCTCTCGGAATATGTGTTTCTTTAGTCTCGAGGTAGGTCAAGTAATACTTTCTCTCTTGTTTCCTCTTTTCTTTCTTCACATATTTTTTTCAATTCTGTCTGTCTCTACTTTTTCCGTGGTCGATAGTATTTACTTAACCGTTGCTATCGTCGCTGTAACCACTTCTGCTACTAGAACAAGAAATGTTGTGGAAATGAAGCAACCATTTCAATCACAATATCACAGTTACGATCTTCTTTTCAGATATTTAAGTTTTTCTTTTCATTGAAGATTACAAAGTAAATTTTAAACACTAAGAAAATAAAATCAAGAGAATTAAAGAATTGAGAAGAGAAGAAGAGAAAGAGAAAGAATTAATAAAAGAGAGAAAGAAACAATTCATTTGAGTGGGAGAGAAACAGAGAGAGGGAGCGAAGGATAATTATCAGGCAGCGTAGCATTGAAGATTTTAGAGAGGAAAATTCAAAGAGGAAAAAACGTGTGTGTGTGTGTGTGTGAGAGAGAGAGAGGGAGAGGGAGAGGACTAGGAAAGGAAGAATAGAGATAAAGAATAAGAAAAATCTCTCTCTCTCTCTATATATATATATATATATATATAGAGAGAGAGAGAGAGAGAGAGATGTAGGGAAAAAGAACTGGAAGAGAACGAGAAAGAGAGATATAAAGGGAATGAATGAGTGTGATATAGAAAGGAAGAAAAGAACTGAAAGAGAAATATATATATAAAGAGAGAAAGAGAGAGAGAGAGAGAGAGAGAGAGAGAGAGGGCAAGCAAAGCAAGGACAAGAAGAACTGAAAGATAATAGAGAGAGAGAATGGAGAGAGGACTAAATAAGAGCGATGATATTGTCATCGCCATGTCTTTTATGCCAAAAACTTAAAGCTAAAAAAGAAAGAAAATACAAAAAAGAATAAGAGAGAGAGAGAGAGAGAGAGAGAGAGAGAGAGAGAGAGAGAGAGAGAAATTAAGAGCTGACAAAATTATACTAATGTCTGGTAAACCAATATTGCAACGAGTTCCATCCTCACTGGGTGCCTCACACTTGTGGTTTTATGCTTGACTAATCTAAGCTTATATCGTGCATCACCAATGGCTAGCAAACTCATCAAGCAGACAATTTACTACAGCTGTGAAGTCGATCCTCACTGGGTGCACAGCACTTGCGGTCGTCTGTTTTGTAAATACGGAATACGTATATGTCTCTCTGAGCTGAACCGACTGAGATAGATAGAGAGAGGGAGAGAGAAACAGAGAGAGAGAGAGAGAGAATAAGATTCAGGGTGTGAATGGTGGTATCCTCTTGGGAAATTCACGCATCTCCTCTTTAAATAATATCCATATCAAGTATCAACAGTTTCTTTTTCTCTCAGACTCCCTACCTTCCGGTTAATTCAATACAAGTGTGTACGCCTTTTCATGTGTGAGAGTTAATCATGAGACACTGAGGCTAAGAGAACCTGAAAAGGTAGTAGAAAAAAAGAAGGAAAACAAACAATAGGATTGACAGTAACGATAGCAGCAGCAGCAGCAGCAACAGCAGCAGCGGCAACAGTTTCCGATGCAGAAGGTTCTGTAGGTACTTCTGCTTCGTTTATATTGTTAACGGTACTGCTGTTTGCATTAATGCTAGTAACGTTGCTTCACCTAGAAGGCAACTACGAAAAAAAAAAGAAAAAAAAGAAAATGATAATGGGAAAAGACTGTTTTAATATTTAAGTCTGCTGTTCTTCAGCAACTGTTGGCATCGTTTTGTTTCCGACCTCTGCTCAGTAAATATTGTTGGGGAAAAAAAAAACAAAAACACCAAAGATAGATAAATTATAAATACAAGAGGACAGCGGGAAGAAAGTCTCAGACGGCCGACATACTGGTCAGTGTTTTTTTTTTAAATTCATTTCACACCCTTCGAACCATCTACTCTGCTACCAACCTTAGACCATTTTCAAAGTATCAATCCTATTTAGACCAGCTCGACTTTCTACCTTCTGTTGGTTTGTCTATTCATCCCCCTGTTTGACTGCTAAACCTAGTTATCTCACCGCTTTCATCTTCTTCTTAGCGCAAAACGAGTGAAGAAGGCTACTCTGCCTCACCAACCGTATTTTTTTGTTTCATCCTTTTCTTTCTCCCTGTGTACGGTCAGTATAACGTTTCTTCTTCATCACCATCATCTCCTAAGAAGTTCAAAGCGGACAAACATCGGTAGGAAAATATTCGTAAACGTACACGTCTGAACTCACCTCTCATTTAAAAGGCTTCTAACTCGACAATACGGAAGGGGTGAGAAAAACCCGAAAGAGAGAGATGGAGAAGGATGAAAACGCCACCACTTACCGGGGAAATCAGCAGACGTCAGCCAAAGGGGCTGGTTACACAAGCGGCGATAGGAATAAGCCGAAGATGGCAGCTAAGTCGAACAAGAAATGGGTGAGACTGGCCACAGTATTGGCCTATGTGTTGGCAGTATCTCTTGCAGCTATCGTTCTTGCTATCTATTACAGCCTTCTGTGGAAGCCCCAACTGAAGACTAACCTGCCGTCAGGAGAAAATGATTCCCAGTTACATGTCAATGAAAAATCTTGAAAAAAAGGAGCATAAACAATTTTTATATAGCAGACTGTTTTTCCTTTCTTCTACTTTGTCATCATACATACCTCTTCATACAAATCAGACGATAGACAGGTGGGTAAACGTTTTTTTTTGTTTTGTTTATTTCTTGTATATTCTGTCAAGTGTCAACACTCATGATTATTTATTTAATCATTAGTTTTAGAGCGCTATTTTTATTCTTCTTTGTTTATTTTTGCATTGTATAATTTATACTTTTAAAATTACTTTTAAACTAAAATCAAAAATCTAAAAAACGAAAAATATAAATAATTATTTAGTTTATTAATTTTTTGTCCATTTATTCTTTTTTTTATTATTGTACATTATACATTTTGTATTTTTATACTTTTATATTTTTTATAGTCTTTGCATTTCCACTTTTCGTATTTTTAATTTAATTTTTAATATTCTTATATTTTACATTTTTTTTAACTCTTGTCTAGTTTTTTAATTTTTTTAGTTTATGTTATTTATTTTTCTTTTTTTTTATTTTAGTAATAATTTTATAGAGTTATTCAAACATAGTTGTTTCCTTTTGTTTTGTTTTTGTATAATGTGGACGCTACAAAAGAATTATGCCCACATCACAAAAGCACCTATCACCACCGTCACAACAAAAAAAACAGTCACAGACAGAACAACAAATGAATGATACCCACACAATCCCCATCACCACCAGCACCACCACTACAGAGCACATTCACTTTCGTCTTTTAGATGAATAGAAAAAAATTGTTTGTATTATAAGAAGATTCTTCAGACGATTATTTATTTATTCGGACAGATATCCTAATCTTGGTTGTTATTGCCACAAAATCAGTTGTACTGTTCAGCTTTCTTCAGGTATCTCTGTAGGTGAACTTACATGAATTTTGAACCAGATCCTTTTTGTTCAATGAACAGAGTCAGTAGATTGTACCCAGTCCGCTGTCTCTGTGAGAGGATATTTCGTATCAGTTAATAAATTCTAGTATTTATTTAATTTATCATTGTGTTGTCACTTGTCGCTTTCACTGACCCAAAATATATGACGTTTGTTTTGTACCCATCAGCCAAGCGATTGAACTCATGACTGCTGAGGTATAATAGCCGAAACGTTGTAATTAACAATAGCAATCAAAATGAGTAAGTCTGAGTAATTCTGTGTATAAGCATAGGTTAGTCTGGCAAAACCTCAGAATTCAGTATGATAATCGAACTCGCTACACATTGTCTAACAGTCAACCTTGTTAACCTTACTGCTAAAAATATCATTCTAATTTTTTGTGGGCGTTTTATAATTGTGTTTTGTTTTACACACACACGCACGCACACACACGCAAAAAAAACAAACAAACAACAAAAAAAAACAAACAAAAAAATCAAATTCTCTGACCGTCTTCTGGTAATATGGTTTTAGGGCAGTGTTTCCCAACCGATGTGCCCGGGTGCATTAATGTGCTCTGTAATGTAGCCAGGTGCGTCCCAAGTTAACAGAAGAGTAATTTATGAATTATTTTTTTTATTCTTATAATAACTATAAGCTGATAAAACTTTATGATCTCATAAAGTTAGAGACTAAATCTTATTCATAAGATCTGAGCTTTGAAACTTAGGAGAGAAACATATATATTCTTTTTTAAGTAATAAAAAAAATACTTCGACGAGTATACTGAAATCAGCTAATTATTTTTAAGTAAATAGTAACTAAACTATTACCTAGTTTCCTCCCTAATTTTCAAAATCACAAATATATATATTACATTTTTTTTTAATATTCTATAATATTGGAAAATGCAATTTCAAGAACATACAAAAAAGTAAACAGAAATAATGCAGTATTTATTCTACATAAAATACAATCTTCTATTAAAATTTAAAGTTTGTTCTATAAGGGCGCCCTGAAGTAAAAAAAAAAAAAGTTGAGAAACACTGGTTTAGGGTTTCCATGACAATCCTAAATCATTTTTAAATGAATGTTTAATTCTATAACGAATGAAAAAGTTTTCGGTTTTCTTAGAGCAGACCATAAAAGTTGTTGATTTCATTCAAACACGAAAATCGGTAAATTTTAAAAGATTTTCAACCAGTAATTAATAAAGAACAAAAAAAAGCTAATCAGTAAAGGTCATTGAAAGTTAGGGCGATACATGGCCAATTCGAAATTGAATATTCAGCTTTTGATTTATTCTGTCTTTTATATTGACATAAGCGTACTTTTAAGTTGAAACCAAGCAAGACAATCGAATATTGTCAGTAACAAAAGTGAGTCCTTGTTGGAAACACATGAAGGCTTTCTTGACAATAAATGCTTTCTAGATTATTGAGACGGACAGAATTACATTTCAAGATATTGAGTTTAAACTTTAAACATCCAGTTGTCTGAACAATAGACATTAACATAGCAACATCTTGAAATGCAATTCTATACGCCTCAGTAATCTAGAAATGTTGAACCATGTGTGCAATTGTCATTGTGCATATTAAGTTTAAACTTTAAACTTAATATGCACATTGACAATTGCACACACATTTATGAACATTTTTTCAACATTTATGAAACAATACATAAACAGACTCTAAACAGCAAAACAGTGATATAGACATCGATGTGTGTATGTGTGTGCGCTTAATAATCACAAATGTAAATCGCTTACAAACAATGAAATATTTTCTATGTACTCGAACATTCCAGCCGGTAAATTTAATTTATACTGTTTAATTAAAATAGAGCATTTACTTAAATAAACTGTATCTATAAAAATAACGTATAAACAGAAAATATATTAATTGTCGGACTTAACCCATTTCATTATATATATATATATATATATATATATATATATATATATATATATATATATATATATATATATATATGTGTGTGTCTGTGTGTGTGTTTGTGCGTGTTTGGCTAACAACCTTTTTTTAGACATTGTTCGTTGAATATGACAGACAAGGAAAATTTAATAACTGATTTATTTAGTTTTTCCATCATTCTCATATATATATATGTATGTATGCGTGTATATATATATATATATATATATATATATATGCTTTACAATTGGAATTAAGATACCTTGAAAGAGAGAGAGAGAGAGAGAGAGAGAGAGAGAGAGAGAATATACTTAGATATTAAACAACAATATATTTTGCAAGCCGTCTTCTATTAGATAGAACAGATAGAGAATGTATGTTGACCCCTGGTGGTGTCGAAGTCGCGGCTTTATCTCAGGTGAAAACTTCACAAAAGATTTGCCGAAAAAATGTTAAAAAGATCCTTCATCTTTTCAACCATCGTTCGTCGTTTTCAAAATAAGAAGACTGAAATTCCATGAATAACTACAATAAATTTTGTATCGTTGTCATTGTAAAGGTGCGTGAGTTCATGTGTTTTCGGGATCTTCTAAGCTTAGCTTCGATGTGGCACAAGACCTTCCCAGTGAGAATCGAACTCACTACTCAGTCGTAATTGTGCTACCGAGACAAGCTTATCTAACATTTATACCACGTCGAGGTGACCAAGTTCACATATTATGACTATGAAGTGACTATAAAATAGAATTCAGCATCAGATAGCAAATATGACTTCAATGTTTTATTAGGCTGAAATTAATTTTATTAATAATGGGTTGCTTTCTTTTAATGTCAAGGCCCACCAGAATTTGTAATTGTTTTTGCAATTAGAATGCAAAAGGTTATTGTATCGTCAATCAAAATCAGACATAAATTGGCAGAGGCGTCGTGAATTATCTAAAAGTTTTACAAACTAAATGCATGAATCAAATGCATTTATCAAATAAAGAAAATATTGATAAAAAAATAAAGTTATTTATTTCCTGAAGGAATGATTTCGAGAGATATGGGAGATGACAAAACAAGGTAAAACTCAGTATCACTTGACAGATGAACTGATAGGACAATTTGTTCAAATCATACTATATATATATATATATATATATATATATATATATATATATATATATATATATATATATGTATGATTAAAACAGGAAAAAGCAAATTTTCCCTCCCTCCACTTCTCATGGGCTCTTAGTGCAAGAATTAATGATGCAGGATCTGGTCATTTATTGATGCCTGAAACAATCACCATGTAGAATTGTCTACCATATATTTATATATACATTAAGGAAATTGTAAGACAAAATGGAAAAAAAAAGTTTATTTGTGACGCTTTTCACACGTTAGGACGTCATCGGACAGGGATGAAATGCATCACAAATAAACTTTTTCCATTTTGTCTAACAATTCCTCAATACTGTTCTTGATATATAAAAATATATATCGTTATCACACACACACACACACACACACATATATATATATAGATAGATAGATAAATAGATAGGTAGAAAGCTTAGCTTAAAGCAATAATAGTGGTGCCTCTCGTAAAGACTGAAGTCACTACAGTCGCGAATTGTTCCGAGAGAATAACCTGTGAGGTACTATAAATATTAATATTATGTTTCGTAAACTTGTACCAATCTTACCCTTATTTAAGGGTCTTATCTCAAAAGCCTTTGTTTGAGATCCCGTTCTTTTTATGTTCCCCATGAATATAGTCTTTCTTAGATATTAAGTTGTGCAGCAGTCATCTTCAGGTTTTATTGCCAGCGTGTCTATGCAAACAGCTTGCTTAGCGTATGGATTGAGGTTGATAAATTTGACGGCAGATAATGCAGTTATCCAAACTTATGTTTCTATAAAAGTAGCCACACCTAAAAAAATGCCATTTAATCATTAATGTTAGCATTAAAATAACGGCAACAGCTGTCATTTTTAAAGCTTAGATAGGTTTGGTACAAGGTCACGATAATTGGGACACCCAGTAAGAATTGAACATACTATTTCTTAGTAAACCAGACTTCTTCGCTAAATGTTACCCAACGTAGCTTTATTTTGACACATAGCCACAGTATGGGTTGGAGAACCATGCGAGAATCAACCACCGGTGAACTAAATGTCCAGCTTGATAACCACTGCTCTGGGATTGAAACAACAAATACGAGGCACCCAGTGAGGATCGAATTCATTACTCAGTATTAAAGGTCAAACAAAAATCGCCTGCTATCACCCAATCCTGAGGCAACCGAAAATAGCAACAGTTGATAAAAAAAAGATATGTGACTTTCTTGATGCAGATGAATCCAAATACTGTATTTGGAACACTATAGCTTGGAACAATACTGCTGAAAAAATCGACAGCCGATACGCGGCTGCCAACGAAAGATAAAAGATGATTCTTAAAACTACGCTATTCCCTGTTTCTTTTTGGATAAAAGTAAAAGCGGAATTTCCTGAGATTGACGAAATTGCTTTGAAAGATCTTTTACCATTTCTTTCAGTATATTTCTGCGAGACTGGTTTCTCGTCAAAAGAATCATTCAAACAAAATACAAAAATGCAATGACTGTCCTTTCTCAATTGCACGTAATATTTTCTTCTGTTGAACCCAGATTGGTAATGATAATGGTAATATTAGTCGTTTCCCTACAAGGAAACATTTGACATTCATTGACAGAGTAGCCACTACTGCTGTCGTTTGAGATTTATAAAATCTTTCTCTTTTATAAAATCTTTCTCTTTTATGAAATCTTTCTCATTTTTCAGGAAAAAAGGTTTCTCAAGTCCAGTAGATGTTATCGCTATTTCCAACATTGATAGGGGATTCCTTCCTAACCTTTTATTTGAAGTAGTGTGGAAGGTCAACATCTCTGAGTTACATATGTTATCCATTTCAGTTGTTGCTGCTGTTGAAAGTCTTCAAGTGACGTGATTTCTATTATTTGGCACAGTTAGTGATTCTGTAGCGCTAGACCACAATGTCCAAAGAAGGGTGATCTTTGTTAAGGCCCTCAAGTTTCACTTGCTCAAAGAGTTTTTCACTATTGATATTGTGAATTGGTTTTATACAGCTGACAGTTTAGCTGGCTTTTAGAGATTTCAGGATGGATTTGAGATATTTCTCAACAGGTTTTAGATATTTCTGAACGGGTTTTAGATATTTCTCAACAGGTTTTTAGATATTTTTGAACGGGTTTTAGATATTCTCAACAGGTTTTAGATATTTCTGAACGGGTTTTAGATATTTCTCAACAGGTTTTAGATATTTTTGAACGGGTTTTAGATATTTCTCAACAGGTTTAGATATTTCTGAATGGGTTGGATGATAAAAAGAAGTAGGCTCATCATTTATATTAGAAACACGCCCATATTTATTATTGTTTTTAATTCGAAATTAATGATTATAATTTGCCATTTTATTACTTATTAATATATATTTAATATTTTTTACAGAAATTTTGCTAATTTGTTATTCTTTATAATTACTTTGGGATATTGTATTGTTTACAAAATAAATATAAGTTTAAAAAGATAACCCTTTAAAAATTTTATTATATATTTTATCAGCTTATTCTACGAATATGTAACCCAGTTCTACCGGTATCATGGTCAAGTCAGTGGCAACTATACCAGTTACCTCCCCAGGCTTTTCTGGTGAGGAGAGTGGCTAAATACCCACTAGGGATTTTTAAAAAAATCTGTTATCCGGTCAACGGCCATCTACTACAATGGGTTAGACTGGGTTCCATAGCTATGGACGCATCCAGTGCGATGATGACACGGCATTGCTGAGTGCAGGGCTTCCTAGACTACGTATCCGTGACCAAGGCGAGCCGTCACATTGGAGGATATCGGTTGTGCTGTGATATGGAAAGGGATGGGCGCCGCCAGGTTAACTTAATCAAGGCACATAAATGCAGGGATCACTTTAACATACTCCTTATTGAAAGAGATTTTCTCATTGAACCCTGTATTTGGCTTTCAACCCATATATGGGGGACCTGGTCAGGGGCTCAGCACAGTGACCCTACGACCACACTCAGTCATAGGACTAATGATGATGATGATGCTGAACTTTTATTATATTTCTCCGATAAAATATATTTATCTGATAATGATCAACATTACTGTTAATGTTCAATTAAAATCCTACTGGTCGTGTACGATTTATAATTTGGCTCAAATACCTTGGTACACTGGAAAAAATGGCGACACGCGAGATCAGGCTCTTTGGGGAATATTGTTTCAGTAGGTTGCAAACAAGGCTTATACTTAATATCAGGAAGACATAGCTGAAGTTTCTGGGACACATATTGAGGAAGAAGGGCCTGGAGAATCTGATACTCACAGGTCGAATAGAGGGAAAAAGAGACTGGGGAAAACAACGGGTGACATTCCTGGCGCACTTAAGCAAGTGAATGACAGAACGTGGTCTCGGGGAGGAAGCTGAGGGAAGGAACTTGTCGAGAGCTGCAAAGGATAGAAGGAGGTGGAGAGCCATGATTGTCTACGTCCTGAAAGGACATGGCACATAAAAAGAAGAATAAAGAAGGCTATCATTATATTTACTAATCTTACTTTATCAAACGGAGGGGAAGATTGTGCAACACCAAACTTTCAACTAAGACCAGTCTTTCTATCTGACTAGAAAATCGGCATCCAAAATCCAGGCTTTAACCTAGGCTTGAAAAGCGATCTCTAACGGTGGTAGAAAATACGGTAGTATTTCAACCATAAAGAAAGTTCAGATAATCTTTTTGTCATTAGAAGCAGGTAAACATGTCAATTTAAATTCATAATATATCTTTTATTTACATATTTAAATAAAGTTTAACTGACTTGATATTTAATTAGTTCAGTCTGACACGAGACTGTGTAGACACGGGAATTATGAAGATTTATTGCATCAATTTTCCAAGTAAGGAATCAAGAATAAGAAGTGAAAATACTCGCTTTTTGTTTGGCTTCGTCCACCAACCAATAGTAATAACCCATAATGCGCAAGTCTCTTAGCTGGCTAAACCATTGGTTAAGGTGTTGTCCGGAATCTGGTTGCGAATTCTTGTCTGAAGCTATTTATTTATTTATTTATTCCGGATATTCACAATTTAATTTAACGCCTGAAGAATATGTCGGTTAAAAGGTTTATTAAGAGCAAATAAACAGAAGAAAGTAATAAAAAATTAATTGTAAAATTGGATCACTTTAACATTCCTCCTGCTATAGCTGCTATTTGAACATCCGTTCCAACAGGTTAATTAA